ATGCATAGTTCCATTCTATATGCATCCGAAGAAGTGGGCTGTAGTCCACGAAAGCTTATGCTCTAATAAATTTGTTAGTCTCTAAGGTGCCACAAGTACTCCTGTTCTTCTTTTTGCGGATACAGACTAACATGGCTGCTACTCTGAAACCATTGATTTACCTATATCTCTTTTGAGCAATTTGAAGACAGAAATCCCTTCCCACTTTCTACAGTTTGTGACATTACAGGGAATCAAGCCAGTAATGTAGAAACTCTGCGCAAATGTCTATTTCCTACACAAGAAGGCTGAGTTATACCATCTCTTAAAGAGACAAAACAGCAGGACCTTCTAGGGCAGATGTCAGTGGCAAATGTGGGCCTTCTCTCCCACATATTTGGGGGGGGAGAGAAGGGGGACGTATCTGTATTTTCGCTTCTTTATCTTTTATTTTGTAGCTGACCATTTCTGGATGAATTATATATTGCTAACTTTCAGGAGATCATGGATACAAACAAATTATAACCCAGTGGGCAACTCTGATGCCGTAAAGGTTTGCTGAACCCAGAATATCATTGGCAAAAGGCAGAAGCAGCAGGATGCAGTGGAATTTTAAATGTTGTGAAGATCCAATGAGAGATCCAGTTTTTCTCTTTTGGATTTCCCCTTCTTCCCATCCTTACTCCAACACCTGTCAGCCACATCAAGAACATACCAGTTTATTTCCTAATTCCAGTATCATTTGCAGATCACCTAACATAAGCTGCCTCAGAAACAATACCAGGAGCATGATGGTGGAGAGAACTCCCTCTCCACCCTCTCCCATGGGGGCCAGTAAAACACCACGGTGGATTTCCTGAAATTGGGGCTTAAGATATTAGTAATTCAGATCCACTGCATGGCAGTCTCCCTGCCTTTGGCAGTATCTTCTTTCTCATCCCTCAAAGATTGGAAAGATTTCCTTGGCAATGTAAATGTGTGAAACTATATCAGAACTGAAAGAGTACAGCAGAGCAGGTCCAGAAGTTGATGGTTTCAGTCCAGTTTGTGTGGGCAAGTAGCCACATGATAAAACAATAGCCATACTTGGCACCCATTGGCACTCTTGTGGTAATCTCAGCAGAGAGACCAAAGACTGATTAGGCTTGAAGAATAAATTCCCTTCTTTTCTAAAGAAAGTTCCTCAAAATCAGAGAAGAGGCACGTGGAGGGAAGCTAGTTGTCACTGTCACTCGACCTGTTCCGTGAGTAAATAGCAGACTGCAATCTCCACCTTTCACAGCTACTAAATTCACAAAAACCAAAGGGGGGAAAATAACTGCATTTAATTCAACAGAAAAGCCATCTTCCAGTGAATGGCATGGGATGGCACACTGTAATCATGAGCACTGAGTGCCGTTAACATACAAATACCAGACAGCCTGATTGACAGAAAACATTTATTAGCACAGCAATTCAATTAATTCCTAAACGCTGATTTGCCTCCCTCTCCCTCTGATACTTTTTTCTTTTGTGGGCTGTAGTCTTGAGTGTAGATTTGGCTGGCTGTGTTTCTCTGCAGCAAGTAGCTTTCAGAAGACAGAAGAAAGCATCAATTTGCTTTTCTTTTCTTCCCCATCATCACAAACATTTCTGAAGGGCAAAATACATGATAGGATGTCTGAAATAAGCATGACAGGAGGCTGTGGTGCTCTTAATCTCTCTTGTTACAACAACCCTCTTCCACTGGAGCTCTTGTCATGTACCATGGTGACTTGAAAAAAAGCTCATGAATTAATTAGAAGAATTTGTCAGTGTTGTTGTTTTTTACTTTTATGTGTTTCAAACTCAGTGCAACCAGCTGTTTTTTCCTCCATCTACTTAAATGTCTTATATGATCCATGAAACTTTCATCTAGAGTCACTGATTACAGCAAAAATAAGACCAGCCTCATGTAATTGCAGTCTTCTAACCAGACATTCGGTAGCAAGAAGATCTGATCAAACTCACAAGTTAAATGCACTGGATTTATTAGAGATGATTTCGTACAGGCTTAGGACACTCAACTGTAGGAGTGCAACATTGTTAGGGAAAGATAAATCAAACCAGGCTTGTTTGCCCTGGGATCCCAATTAGAAGAGATGTTGGGAACCCAGCACATAGCAGCAATTTAAATGAATAAGGAAGCTGACCAAGCATGGGATTAGACCATTATCTTGGATGCAAGAAAGAGACAAAATAACATTAATATTCTCTACTTCCCCCATTCCTCTTGCTGTTGCTTTTTGACCCACTTACAGCTTCTTTGACTTTATCTGCAAACTTTCCTAGTGTTTCCCCTACTTCTCTGACACACCTTTAGGTCACCCTATTACTGAGGATCTCCCAGCTTTTGGAGGGCCCCTCTCCCCAACCCTCCTAGCAGCTCTCTGAATCCTCTGTGGAACTTATGACTGCTTCCTTACTCCTTTCTCCTTCATGTCATACCCTTTTGATACTCTTGTTCTATTTGCTGGTCCCCAGTACAAAAGGAAACTAGCATTACAGTGGTGTTTAAAATAGGAATGGAGAGAGTATAAACTAACTAACTTTATTTTAAAGGGCCAGTTTGGTTAGGAAAATGACTAGCATATGTAAAAACATCACTTTTTTTTACTCCATCTGTTCTCTGTGAGTTTCCAAGCACACAATATATTCTCACTTATTGTCAAGCAACATCTTTTACTCCTGTTAGCACGGCAGAACCAATTCAGCTGCAGTATATTCTGCTTCATGTTTAGTATCATCAACACAATACTCAACTCAGCTTTCATTACAGAGGGTTAAAATGTGCCAGTGGGGTGATCAGGGCCGGCTCCAGGCACCAGCCTAGCAAGCAGGTGCCTGGGGCGGCCAATGAAGAGGGGGGCGGCACATCCGGCCCTTTCGGCGGCAATTCAGCGGCGGGGCCTTTTCAGAGTATACCTGTACCTAAATATTGGAATCTTTGTGTCTGGGGAAAGGTATCAAGTAGTTTTTTCCTGATGTCCTGTACACTATATAATTTCCTCTATGTCATATGGTATATTGTGTATCTCAGCTTGTTCTACCATCTTCTCCACTGGCTGAATGTTAATAGGACAGAAAACTTGCAGTGAAATAGTTTAACTACCAGGTATGCTAGACACTACAATTTAATAATTAACATAAGCACATTTAATACCCTGCTGCAATTCCAGTTTGAAACCACAGTAAAAAAAAAAGTTCAATAGAAAATGTAATACTAAATATAAACACCTATCTCCCTTGTGGCTTAGTAATTAGTTCTGTGAACTGTCAGGTGGGAAACGTGGGCCCAATTCCCAGTTTCTAGCCCTATAAGCAAATAGAGACTCTCAGTCTTTAATGTCATGGCTAATGTATACATGTACCACTGCTCTCTCTTGGACGGAATGCCAAACTTTGTCAAATGTGTTAGATAACATCACCCTCTAATGGGTACATTCTACAAAGATATAAACCCTGTAATACCTATATAGTGGTTATTCATTTACTGAAGAGGTAGTTTGCACTATATAACAGACAACACCGTAGTGCAGTAAGCCATAGTGGATAGTTTATGGAAAGGAAGGAAGCTACAGAATTGCTCAACAGCCTCTGATCCTTCTGACCAGACTCCAAAGAGAACCCTGTCTAGTTTTAGGATGTCAGACACAAAGATGTTGGCTGCAGTTCAGTGCGTGAGA